CTCTGACCTCTGACCTCTGACCTCTGACCTCTGAGCTCAGACTCTGACCTGACCTCTGACCTCTGCTGTCTGAACTCTGACCTCTGACGTCTGAACTCTGACCTGACGTCTGACCTCTGAACTCTAACCTCTGACCTCTGACGTCTGACCTCTGACGTCTGACCTCTGACGTCTGACCTCTGACCTGACCTCTGACCTCTGCTGTCTGAACTCTGACCTCTGACGTCTGAACTCTGACCTGACGTCTGACCTCTGAACTCTAACCTCTGACCTCTGACGTCTGACCTCTGACGTCTGACCTCTGACGTCTGACCTCTGACCTGACCTCTGACCTCTGCTGTCTGAACTCTGACCTCTGACGTCTGAACTCTGACCTGACGTCTGACCTCTGAACTCTAACCTCTGACCTCTGACGTCTGACCTCTGACGTCTGACCTCTGACGTCTGACCTCTGACCTGACGTCTGACCTGATGTCTGGCCTCTGACCTGATGTCTGACCTCTGACGTCTGATGTCTGACCTCTGACTTCTGACCTCTAACGTCTGACCTCTGACGTCTGTGCTCTTACCTGACGTCTAACCTCTGAGCTCTGACCTCTGACGTGATGTCTGACCTTTGACCTCTGACGTGATGTCTGACCTCTGACGTCTGACCTCTGGCCTCTGAGCTCTGACCTGACGTCTGACCTCTGACCTGATGTCTGACCTCTGACGTCTGACCTCTGACCTCTGAGCTCTGACCTGACGTCTGACCTCTGACCTGATGTCTGACCTCTGACGTCTGACCTCTGACGTCTGACCTCTGACCTCTGAGCTCTGACCTGACGTCTGAGCTCTGACCTCTGACCTGACGTCTGACCTCTGACCTCTGACCTCTGAGCTCAGACCTGATGTCTGACGTCTGACCTCTGATGTCTGAACTCTGACCTGACGTCTGACCTCTGACCTGACGTCTGAGCTCTGACCTGATGTCTGAGCTCTGACCTCTGACCTCTGACCTGACGTCTGAGCTCTGACCTGATGTCTGAGCTCTGACCTGATGTCTAAGCTCTGACCTCTGACCTGACGTCTGACCTGATGTCTGAGCTCTGACCTCTGACCTGACTTCTGACCTGACGTCTGACCTCTGACCTGATGTCTGAGCTCTGACCTCTGACCTGACGTCTGACCTCTGACCTCTGAGCTCAGACCTGACGTCTGACCTCTGACCTCTGATGTCTGACCTCTGACCTGACGTCTGAGCTCTGACCTGATGTCTGAGCTCTGACCTGATGTCTGAGCTCTAACCTCTGACCTGACGTCTGACCTCTGGCCTCTGATGTCTGACCTCTGACCTGACGTCTGAGCTCTGACCTGATGTCTGAGCTCTGGCCTCTGACCTCTGAGCTCTGACCTGACGTCTGACCTCTGACCTGACGTCTGAGCTCTGACCTGATGTCTGAGCTCTAACCTCTGACCTGACGTCTGACCTCTGGCCTCTGACCTCTGAGCTCTGACCTGACGTCTGACCTCTGACCTGACGTCTGAGCTCTGACCTGAGATGTCTGACCTCTGACCTGACGTCTGAGCTCTGACCTGATGTCTGAGCTCTAACCTCTGACCTGACGTCTGACCTCTGGCCTCTGACCTCTGAGCTCTGACCTGACGTCTGACCTCTGACCTGACGTCTGAGCTCTGACCTGATGTCTGACCTCTGACGTCTGACCTCTGACCTGAGCTCTGACCTGACGTCTGACGTCTGACCTGACGTCTGACCTCTGACCTCTGAGCTCTGACCTGACGTCTGACCTCTGACCTGATGTCTGAGCTCTGACCTCTGAGCTCTGACCTGACGTCTGACCTCTGACCTGATGTCTGAGCTCTGACCTCTGACCT